CTTTCCTTCTTTCGGGTTTTTTTTTTTTTTTGGGTCCAGTTGTGGGGCCTGAACTCTGGGCCTGGGTGCTGTCCCTCAGCTCTTCAGCTCAAGGCTGGCACTCTACCACTTGAGCCACAGTGCCACTTCTGGCTTTTCTTTTTGCTTATGTGGTGCTGAGGAATTGAACCCAGGGCCTCATGCATGCAAGGCAAGCGCTCTACCACTGAGCCACCTTCCCAGCCCCTCTCTTTCTTTCTTTCTTTCTTTCTTTCCCTTCCTTCCCTCCTTCCTTCCTTCCCTTTCTTTCTTTCTTTCTTTGCTGTTGTGGGGCTCAATATCAGGGCCTAACCACTGTCTCTGAGCTTTTTTGCTCAAAGGGGCTCAATATCAGGGCCTGATTACTGTCCCTGAGCTTTTTTTTTGCTCAAAGCTAACACTACCACTTCGAACCCCAGCACCACTTCCAGTTTTCTGGTGGTGAATTAGAAATAAGAGTCTCATGGACTTTTCTGCCAGGTTGGCTTGAATCACAATCTCAGATCTCAGCCTCCTGATTAGCTAGGATTACGGGCATGAGCTATTGATGCCCAGCTAATTTTCTACTTTCAAATAGGGCACAGTAACATACCCCTATAGTCTCAGCCTGTCATGAGGCTACTACTGTTAACATGCTGCCCAGGGGGTTGCATTCATCTGAAGGTTTTGACTGGGGCTGGAGAATCTCATTCCATGATGGCAGACAACTGAAGCTGGTTGCCTCAGTCCCTTTGCACATGGGCCCTCTCTTAGGGCTGCTTGAGGGTCCTTACAACATGGCAGCTGGCTTCTCCCAGGAAAGATACGAGATAGAGGAGACTACGAAGCCTTTATATCTGTTAGGGTTTGAATATGAAATGTCCTCCACGAACTGGGCACCAGTGGCTAACACCTGTAATCCTAGTTACTCAGGAGGCTTAGATATGAGGATCACAGTTCAAAGCCAGCCCAGGTAGGAAAGTCCATGAGACTCTTATCTCCAATTAACCACTAGAAAACCAAAAGTGGTGTGGTGGCTCGAGTGGTAGAGTACTTGCCTTGAGCTGAAGAACTCAGGGACAGGGCCTGGGCCCAGAGTTCAAGCCCCAGGACTGACAAAAAAGAAAAGAAAAGGAAAGGAAAGAAAGCAAGAAAGCAAGCAAGCAAGAAAGAAAGCAGGCAGGCAGGCAGGCAGGCAAAGAAATATCCTCCTTGGGGCTGGGAAGATGGCTCAGTGGTAGAGCGCTTGCCTTGCATGCATGAGGCCCTCGGTTCAATTCTTCAGCACCATATAAACAGAAAAAGCTGGGAGTGGGGCTGAGGCTCAAGTGGTAGAGTGCTAGTCTTCAGCTGAAGAGCTGAGGGACAGCGCCCAGGCCCAGAGTTCAGGCCCCATGATGGACAAAAAAAAAGGAAATGTCCTCCACAGCCTGGATTTCTAGCTGGTAGTGACATGTGGGGAGGGGTTGGTAGGTGACCCAGGGTGGGTCTTAACCTTGTACTGGGCCCATAGGCCTGTCCCTCCCATCTCTTGTCTTGGCTTCTCAACCATCAGGAAGTGAATTGCGTTCCTGCACAACTGCTCCTGCCTGCCATGATACTCAGCCTGCCCCAGGCTCACGCAACAGAGCCAGCCCACCACCAACTGGTAGCCAAAATAAATCCCACTTCCTTTAAACTGCGTCTCTCAGGCATTTCTCGCAGCCAGGCAGCGCTAACACAATGTTTGAACCTTGATGGTCACATATCATCTTTTCTGCTACATTTTATTAGTTAGAAGTAAGTGAGGGGCTGGGAAGGTGGTACAGTGGTAGAGTTCTATCCTTGCATGCATGAGGCCCTGAGTTCGATTCCTCAGCACCACATAAGCAGAAAAAGCTAGAAGTGGCATTGTGGCTTAAGTGGTAGAGTGCTAGCCTTAAGCTGAAGAGCTGAGGGACAGTGCCCAGGCCTCATGACTGGCAAAAAAAAAAAAAAAAAGTGACTACAGCTTGCACTTGGAAGAGAGGAGGCATTAGGAATATCAAGAAATTTATGGCCTTTTTTTTTTTTTTTGCCAGTTGTGGGGCCTGAACTCTGGGCCTGGGCACTGTCCCTCAGCTCTTCAGCTCAAGGCTAGTGCTCTACCACTTGAGCCACAGCGCCACTTCCAGCTTTTTCTGCTTATATGGTGCTGAGGAATCGAACCCATGGCCTCATGCATGCAAGGCAAGCACTCTACCACTGAGCCACCTTCCTAGCCCATGGCCATATTTTTGAAACATAACTTTTGGCTGATATTTCCCCCTCCAAATTTCCCACTTCCAACTAGGCCATAAGTGATGTAACTCTATATAGTCCCAGCACTCAGAGGTTGGGACAAAGAGTGCCACTTAAGCCTGGGAGTTCAAGACCAGACAGATTGGCAACACAGTAAGACACACTCTCTCTTTCACACACACACACACACACACACACCAGCCCAGTGCTTGTGCCTCATGCCTATACTCCTAGCTGCTCAGGAGGCTGAGGTTTGAGGATTGTTGGGTGAAGCTCTTATCTCCAATTAATTGGTGGTGAGCTAGTCTAGCTCAGCTCTTTAGTTCAAAGCTGGCTCTCCCACTTGAACCACACTTCTATTTTGGGCTTTTTGTTATTGTTATTGATTAATTGGAAGTAAGAGTCTCTCAGACTTTAGATTTTCTGTCGCACCTGGCTTCAAACTTTGATTCTCCATTCTCAGCCTTCTGAGGTTATAAACATGACTCACCAACACTGGCTACACATTGCTCCATTCACTCTTTAAGAAAAGGGACCTAAGCTGGGCACTAGTGGCTCACGCCTGTAATCCTGGCTACTCAGGAGGCTGAGATCTGAGGATCATGGTTCAAAGCCAGCCTGGGCAGGAAAGTCATGAGACTCTTATCTCCAATAAACCACTAGAAAACCAGAAGTGGCACTGTGGCTCAAACGGTAGAGCACTTGCCTTAAGCTGAAAAGCTGAGGGACAGCGCCCAAGCCCAGAGTTCAAACCTCACAAATGACCAAAAAAAAGAAAAGGGACCTAGGTCCTAGTCACTGCTGTTTAACCTATAGTCCTGGCTTCAACTGAGTGAGCTCTCTTCCAGGAAAAGGATCACAGACAGCATAAATGTCTTGAAGAAAATGTGTGTGTGGGGGGGGGGGGAGTGATGACATCGCTCATCCCTCAGTGAACTCACCCTATCTTCATATCTGTGTCCTTACTGTGTCCTGAAAGTTGCTTGGGGAAAAGCAGATGAGGGTCTTTCAAGGTATTCCAGAGTGGAATGGGAAAAATCAGTAAGGAGGGGTTAAGCAGGTGGACACACAGAAGGAGGAATGATATTAGAACATATGTATCATTTTCCCTGCTAACGACAGGGAAAACCTTGGTCCAATCAAACTAGAACTGAGAATCTATTCAGATACACTAGAATAGTGGCAGCTCCAAGGTCAGGGTCAAAGACAAGCCTGTGAGAGCTATAGCATGGAAATGAAGGCTCTGCACGTTCATATCGTTAAAAGAAAACAGCATTAAGTATGCAGAGTATAAAGGTCTTAAAAATACCAAGAAAGTTTTTTTTATTATTGCCATAATTACTACTTTGATACCTTTTCTGAAATGCTAAATCTTACATCCTTTCTTTCTCTCCTCGGGAAGTTGCCATCTGTGTTGCTGATGACCTGTGTTAAATTATGTATTGGGAAATCAAATCCCAGATAAATGACTGAACATTTTCGAAGCATCGGGAATGTGTTTACGTTCATAACTGCACTGAAGCTGTAAGAACAATCGGAAGAAGGCGAAGGCACTTGATTTCCATTTTGAGAGTCAAGCAAAAGGGGGCTCTAGGACGTGAACATTAACCAGGTCTGGTTCTGTCGAACAAAGAATGAACCGCCCAGGCTGTAGTGAAGACTCAAATGTAAGGGATTTTCAGCTCTTCACTTCCAATGAGGTGGAGGGACCATGCGGGCAGGGGCAGAGGTATCACTCCTTCCGAGCGCTCTTTGCCTTTAAGAGTCGCCTCCTCCCGCCAAGGATGCTCCAGCAACCACCACCACCCCGCCCCCTCCCCCACCCCCCGCACCCCCGCCTGG